CTGTGAAAAAAAAGAATTGCAATGCTGAAAAAGCATTTTCAGTGACAATGTTTGGATTTGAAATCAAAATAATGGATAAATGTTGTGTTTGTGGTAAACAGCCACGGATCAGTAGCGGACTCTTCTGTGAAAGCTGCTTCCCCTCTCACAAGAGTCTTCTAAGAGGGGAATTCCCCCCATTTTCAAAAATTAAATTCAGGTCCTGAATAAATGTCTAAAAAATCCTGATTGGAGTATCAGTATAAGTAGGTATAAATTATAAAAAGAAGGCTTTAAAAAGATCGGTATTGGTGATCGGTATCGGCAGATACTGCTTTCTGTGATCGGTGTTCGGTGATCGGCCTCAAAAATCCTGATCGGAGCACCCCTAATTTCCGTATCGCGCAAGTGGGAAGCTCTGTTTCGGGGATTACGTCTCTTTATATCCGGCAACCCTGGTTGTGTTCCTCTGCAGCCATATTAAACCCTTTTGCAGCCTATATATTATGCTCTATTCATTATTTTTAGAAACCTCACACTTTACTACTCAATTTTAAACGTTGTTCTTGTATTCATTTCAAATTAAGCGCGGTCCACTGCTACACATGCCACAATACTCGTATCGTCAAATCTCTTTGATGATACATCGTCGTATCGATGTATTGAACACAGCACTAGTTCCTAGTTGGTCCCTTGGTTTCGTGACTGTGGGATATGGGGAAGGATTTTTTTTGCGGGGGAGTGGAATCAGGTTTTCTACATGTGCCATTCAGAAGCATCCCGACAGGCTTGCCGCAGCAACTGAAATATGAAAGAAAAAACAACTCGCTAATATTCTTGTTGTTGACATTCTCTCTGCACTCGTTTCTGTCTTTCCTTGCTTTCTTCACTTAAGTCAAGAGAAACATGCCTTTGGCAGAAGTTATACTGTTTTTAGTGTGGGTTGCATGAATCATCACTATGGAAACTATGTGGTTCCCTGAATGTCAGCATATGTGTGTGGCTGTGTGTATGTGTGTGTGCGTGTGCATTTTGCCACTGATGCTCTAGTTTCAGAAGGCAGCATTGAAGACTTGCCTTAACCTTCCGTTTTGTTCTAAAGCAAGGTCTGAAGAGGCAACAGAATGTAGACACATGCCATCTGTGCCATATGTTTCATTGCAGGGATGGTTTCAGTATGACTATAAACAGAATATGTAAGGTAATTTTTGCCAATGCTGTATATCTATTAGCTGTGTTTTTTACAGATAATGAGGCGAAACGTAAATATAAATTCAGTGGCAGTGCAGAATCAATTCTCTAATTGAAGGATGATTCCAGAATTGATCGTAGTTTGACACTAGGCATGGGCCGATTACAGGTTTCAAAATATACCGCGATTTGAAAATTTCACGGTTTCAAAACTGCTAATATTTTCCGTTATACCATTCCTGCGGTATGCGCTGTTTTTCATGTCTCCTCAAAGACTGAAAGTGTAGGAATCTCTCAGGTTGAGTGAAGTGTAAAGAGTAACACGACCCTCCTCCTCCTGTTGGTGCGAGCGAGGGGTCAGTCACGTGTGTAGGATGGCCGAACTTAAGGAGCTTCCCCTGGAATTTACGCGATCGGCAACCGGCCGCTTTTTGTCTTGTTGCAAGCAACTCGTCTCTGTTCTGGACTTGCACAAACCGCGTTGCAATGCAATCGTTTTCCAAAATGTAATTTATGTCAAAATATGAAGTCTGTAAACGCCACGTTCAGGCATGTAGTATAATTTCACAAAGCTAGTCAGAACATTGTTTTTGCTTCAAATTGGGTTATATAGAGAATCATGTATATGAAATTATATAACTAAACGATATGAAATGATATAAATGATATGTATATGAATTATATAACTAAATTTAAATAACTGTAATTACAGATTTAGGTTAAATAAAGATGTCAGTCTTTATTTTTCTTCTTTTTAGGAAACAAATTAAAGAAAAATAAACATTCTACTGTTCCTAATATTCTGTATGTTGCTCAAAAACAAAATATATTGTGTTCAGCAGAAAACTTTTTTTTTTTTTTTTTTTTACCCAGTCATTTAAAAATAACACATTTTAGAGCCCATGCCTATTTGACACTTTCTGTAATTGATAGATGTGGCCCATTTCTGTGTTTTAAAGGAATAATTCACCCCAAAATATAAAAACTTTCCCATTTCTTTTACACTCTAATGTCATTCCAGATTGGTTTGACATTCTTTCATTTGTGGAGCACAAAAAGAGATGTTTACAGGGTTCCCACGCTTCTTGAAAGTACATGAAAGTACTTGAATTTCAGACATATGGATTCAAGGCCTGGAAAGTACTTGAAAACAAACATAGGTCCTTGAAAGTGCTTGAATTAAATTTGAAATAAATTTTGTTTATGGCGCTATTTAAAAAATTGTCCTATATGTTCTGTCAAAGACCGAACAAGCGGCACTAATGATTGGGGGTGGAGATGGGGGAGCGCAAAAAAAAAAAAAAACGTGTGTGTTGACGCGCAGCCTAGAGACCTGAGCGGGACAGTTTTCTTAATTCCGCTCCCGCTGAATTTCTGCCCATTACCGCCCACTCCCGCAATGTGTGTGTCACGCTCCCACAAACGTTCTTATTGTCTTATTGTATATATTGCATCAATGAAAATAGATCTAGTGAGTCAGTGATTCATGATTACCCATACATAAAGATTTCACTCCTGAATGAATCAGCTGTTCAAACGGATCAATTGAATGAATGATTCAGTGATAAAATCAGTGACTTACCGCCACCTGCTGGTGGATTTAGTTTCATTTTTAGCGTATAATTTTTGTTTGTGCTATTGATTGTCATTAATTTATTTGTTCTTATTTTATTATTTACTATTTACTTGGCCTTATTTTAACTAAAAAAGACATGTCCTGAGTTTTTCCTTCTTCCGTTTTAAAAAAAATCTCCATCCACATAAAAACGCAAGCAAAAATCAGTTTGATGCATATTTTATCAATATTTTAGAAATTTAATTTGAATATTGCTAGTACTGACTTCAGTGGATTTCATTAAATTCCTTTGAACATGACTGCTCAAAACGGTCTAAATTTATGAAACCTAGACATTCAAAACATTATTACTCTGAAATTATGTAAATGTTAAGTGTAAGTGGTGAAATATTAAGTAATGTAAGGTCTTTCATGACACTACATATGCTGGGGTGTGAATTTGATAGGTGCTTGATATAAAATAAATGGTGCTTTAAAAAGTCCTTGAAAGTCCTTGAATCTGGTGTTCATGAAAGAGTGGGAACCCTGTGTTTAGCAGAATGTTCATGTTGCACTTTTCCATACAGTATGAATGAATTGAGATGGACATCAGGACAGGAAAACAGCACCGTAAAAGTAGACCATGTTACATTGCAGCTTTTTATATACTAAGCTATTTTATAGCTTAGTGTGAGGAAGTAACCGAACTGTCATTTCACTTTACAGGTTATGGCCTCTGATGGTGCCATGTTTAAATATATGTGGAAGAAAATTAAATTTGAGAGCTCCGGCTGTGTAAATGATAACAGAATTGTAATTTTGCATCCGTTAAAATACCACTGTTCTGTGCAAGCCACGTACCATTTGAAGTGAAGCACTGTTGATGTTTCAAACACACTATCAATCAACAAGACTATAGATCAGCCTATAATTAGACTCCCACCTGAATTATTTATGTCTCTCTAAGCGATCAAATAGGTTCACAATCAAACTCGCACACATGCTCTGACTGGTTGATGGGAACATTCAAAAGCAAGATTGCGAAAGGCAGAGGGGGGTGTGGTGCTGGTGCATTTTTGTGTCTAAAGCTTTGAAGGCTGTCAATTGAAATAAAAAACCCAGCTGCTGATGCCCTCACTTCCTTAGTGACTGCTGTGCACTAGTTTGAGTTTTAATGACCCAACCCATGAGTACTGGCTCTACATAATGTATGAACCAGGATTTATTAACAATCAAAAATTGTATTTGCAAAGAGGCTTGTTTGTGTTAATGGATCATCTCAATGCCATTGATTCATTATTGGTTATTTTTGACTGAGCGCTCATTGAACGGCTCTCCAGCTGGTGGAGTATCTCATGCCGCAGGGAGCTCTATGCCACTCTGTGAGCACTCGTTCATTATAGTCTTTACTCCTCCTGTCTTACTGAATTTCAAGATACTGACTTTTTGCTCACAACCAGGAAAGACTGAATACAAAAACTAAAAATGATGTGTCAAAGACAGCTTTGATTCATGTGATTTGGATATTAGTCACATTATAAAGTGGGATTTACTTTCAGCTTTTCAAAAGTGTTTGACTTGGCAGTGCATATCTGGCATCACTGTAAGCTCATTTGTCTTGTTACATTTCAGATGCAAGTCATTCAGTTGCGGTAATCGTTATTTCTCCTCCTGTTTTACAGATCACAGAAGCAAGCAAGGATGTGCTCCCAGCATGGTTGCATTGGGATGCAGAGAGTGGCACACTTCAAGGCCTTCCTCTAGAGACAGACAAGGGCGTTCACTACATATCTGTTTCTTTTTCCAATGAGAGCCAAGTCTCCCAAAGCCCAGATGTGTTCTCCATTGAGGTGCACCCAGAGGAGCATGCTGATACTGACCCTTTTCAGCTTGCAAGTCAACAGTCAGCCAGCAATGATGTCCAACCTTTCATCTGTGGCAATGAGGAGCCTGTTACTGTCCTTACCGTCATTTTGGATGCTGACCTCACAAAGATGTGCTCGAAGCAGAGGGTGGAACTACTTGCTAACATGAAGAAGTTTTCTGGCATGGGGCTTCAGCACATGAAGATTTTGCCTGTGGTCAACAACCGTTTGTTTGACATGTCTGCTTTCATGGCAGGACCGGGAAATGCCAAGAAGGTGGTTGAAAACGGAGCCCTTTTGTCCTGGAAACTTGGCTGCAGTCTGGATCAAAGCAGCATTCCTGATATCAGTAGTGTTCAGGTTCCAGCAAAAGAGGGAACCATGTCCGCACAGTTGGGATATCCGGTCGTTGGGTGGCATATCGCTAACAAAAAGCCCCATGTACCTAAAAGGGTGCGAAGGCAGCTCAACAACACCCCCACTCCCATTCCCTCATTACTCCCCCCAACAACTTACCCTGAGCCCCCCATCCGTATCGTTCCTACACCGACTTCTCCTTCTATTGCTCCTACCTCAGACAGTTCTGCCCCACCTGTTCGTGGTCCTGTGCCACTTCCTGTAAAACCTACCATTCGAAACCGAGATCCCATTGCCTACACTCCAACCTTAGGCCCCCCTCAGCCAACACGAGTAATAGACTCCACCAGCACAATCGCCATCCAGCCCACCATGACCAGGCCTGTGTATGTTGGGCCCTCTGTCACCCCAACAACACCCACAACCAGGAAACCAACAAAAAAACCTGGAAAGAAGCCCAAGACAACTCCGATACCAAGAGAACCCAAGACCACCACAACCAAGCCACCAAGGCGCACAACACCCCCCGTTATCCTAATTGAAAGCAATATAAAACCCCAGCTGCGAAACCCAATTGACCAGGTGAATGCCTACGTTGGCACCTACTTTGAGGTGAAGGTTCCATCTGATACGTTTTTCGACAAAGAGGATGGAACTACTGATAAGTTGAGACTCACCTTGCGCAAGGGCAATGATGTGGTTGGAGATGATTCCTGGATACAGTTTAATAGCACAAGCCAGTTGCTCTATGGATTACCAGACCAGGAGCATGAAGGAAAACATGAGTATTTCATGCAGGCAACTGACAAAGGAGGTCTCTATGCAATAGATGCCTTTGAGGTCCGTGTCAATCGATGGGGAAACAGTGTTAAGTCACCGGTGTTGTTTACTGCTGTGTTCGAAGGGGATGCACGTACAGTCACCAGTGACATTCACAAGAAGATCCTTCTCGTCAAGAAACTGGCCCAGTCTTTCGGTGATCGCAACAGTAGCACCGTTACACTGAAGAACATCATGAAGGGCTCTATCATAGTGGAATGGACCAACAACAGCCTTCAGCAAAACCCCTGCCCAAAAGAGCAAATACAGCAGCTGACCAGAAGAATCTCTAATAATGAGGGTAGACCCTCACCACAATTCAAGCATGTTATGGAACCAGATTTCAAGGCCTTAAATATCACTGTCAGAGGCACAGCAAGCTGTCGCAACTACATGTTTGTCCCGTTAGGTGAGATCCCAGATCCGACCATCTCTCCGGTTACTCCCGCTGTGGGCGCTGGAAGACAGAGCAATGATGATGTGTATCTTCACACCGTCATACCGGCAGTGGTGGTTGCAGCAATTTTGCTGATAGCGGGAATCATTGCCATGATTTGCTATCGCAAGAAGCGCAAGGGCAAGCTGACCATCGAAGACCAAGCAACTTTCATCAAGAAAGGAGTGCCCATTATTTTTGCGGATGAGCTTGATGACTCTAAGCCGCCCCCATCTTCCAGCATGCCCCTTATCCTTCAAGAGGAAAAGCCTCCGCTTCCTCCACCAGAGTATCCCAACATGGCTAGTCCAGAGACAACACCTCTGAACCAGGACCTTTTGGGAGAGTACACACCTCTACACGATGAGGATCCCAATGCCCCTCCCTACCAGCCACCACCACCCTTCTCTACGCCAATGGAGGGGAAAGGATCCCGCCCCAAGAACATGACCCCGTACAGATCTCCACCCCCTTACGTGCCACCCTAATGTTTGCCGAAACCTCCGGAGCAGGAGGATGTGGGACTTTTGTAGTTCCACACCAGTGTGTTGTTTCTTTGCATTATGGGATTTTTAGAAGGGGGGTGCTGCAAATTGGGGTTTGAGGTTTGAATGTGATGGGATGATTTTGTTAAACTGGACTCTTAAGGAGATGTGGGAGGGTGGGGAAAGTGGATAGTCTGCAAAGGACAGCGAAAACAACCTCAGCCTCTGACTACTCTGGTTATTGCTAAACTGTTGGGGATGTACCCTCCAGTCCTGGCACTTTTGTGTCTAGATGGGCTTTTTTGACTAATTATTGGTTTTGTTTTGATTTTGATTTTGATTTTCTTTGTTTTTTGTTTCACATTTTTCTTACTCAGAATCAAAACTCCTTGCCTAACAGCACTCTTTCTATCTTCGTTAATCTTGAATAATGTAAGTGGACAATAAAGCTGACTGCCGGTGCAAAAGGTTTCATAGAGAAATTCAATAACAGAAGGGGAAAAAAAGAATGGCCTTGAGGGACTTGGACAGCCATGCAGACAGTTCCGTGGGATGTCGATGCATTATGGTTTTGCCTTTTAACACAAAATTAAACTGTTTTTATTGTTCTTCACATGTCTAGTTAAATCACTACAAGAACAGGTAGCCAAAATGAAATATTTGTTTAATCAACTGTATATTTGAAAGTTATGCTCGATCATCTTTAATTATTATATATTTTTACTTTTTTTAATTATTACACTGCGATAAACACTATTTTCCACCCCTCAAAAATGCTAAAAACATATTAAATCACTGAGTGAACATGTCACAGTGTGTGTTCTGACTTGAGATCTGTGCTATATAGTTTCTTGCCAGCCATGTGAAACTTTTGGAGGCGGTAATCTCATGAGTGAGTCGTCTATGCAGATTCTGCCTTTGACCTGACAGGCCGGAGCCTGTTATTGATCTCACTTAATCATATTTCCCATAGGCCATGAAGAGATCTTGTGATTTAATTGGTTGTACAGGTTGACGGGGTCTTCGCATCCTTAATTCTCTCATAAGACAGCAGGAACCATGTTCAGCACCCTCAAGTCAAAACCACCAATATAATGTTTCACCAGTTAGACTCAAGCTACTGACAGTCATTGAGACGGATTTCTCAATTTCAAAGACTTGATTTAAATTAGAACAAGCTCGGGTTTCAGATGATTTGTAGTTTCTTTGTTTCTTGCTTTTTCTTTTATTTTTATGTTATGTTTTTATATATATATATATATATATATATATATATATATATTTCAGTGATGATTATGGAGTATATGCCTTGGATCCACTCTAAATAATTCAAAATAAAGACTGAAGATTTTGATAATGGTGACCCATCCTCTACACAACGGTATTGTTTATTAAATGTCATGTCATAATTATACATATATTTGCAGTTGAATGCCATATTTTGCCTTGGTGGTATCGCAGCAAGTGTCTTCTGTACATAATATTCTGCCTGTGGATATAACTGTATAGTCCAAACGTGTGTAAATCAGATATTTAAAAAAAAACTAAAACAAACAAACAAAAAAAGAAATGAGGAAAAAAATATTACTTTTTGTTTTAGATGAGGAGTGATTATTTTTTATATATAGTAATGGTAATAAAAAAAAAAAATCCTTGAGCAAGACCTGGAATAGAAGGAGTGAACTGGTTTTTATTTACAAAATCATCAGAAAACTAGAAAAAAAATAAATGGAAAAAAAAAAAAAGATTGATAAAATCACAATCTAATTTTTTACAAAGTTTTTGATACAGCCTCAAATTGTTTATTAAAAACAAATATATAGTGTATTGCAATTTGTAAAACTTTAGTCTTGGTAATTGATTCATTATATAGCTTTTCCTCATGGGTCTTTTTCTTAGGTGGTTTTCTTTAAGTTTGCTTTAAGCTTACAAAATAGAAATGGTGGACTGTGTTGTCGGGAAAAATGTCCTATGTAATAGTATACTTTTTTTTCTGATTTGTGTTTTACACTCATTTGTTTTTAGGTTTAGAATTCAAAAGTGACATTTGCAATAATAAAGGTGTGGCATAGTCACGGCTGGTCAGTATGAGTAGTGTGCAAGATCTGTGTGACGCAGTACCTCCTCAAGTCTCACAACCCCAGAATTGTTTTGCCACGTAGGAGGTTATGTATGGATGTATTTGTGGGTGTGATCGTAACTTGTATTTTAATGCTTCCATTTATCCTTTATAGATTTATCAGTAAACCAAAATCCATGGAGGTTTGATTTGATGTTTCATTTGTACGTACCAGCAGGTTGAAGATGGAAATGGTGCAGGAAAAGGTGCAGTAGGATTGAGGTACAAAAACATTGCACAATTCACTTCATCATGGTACGGCATTGAAAAAATACTGAAAATTATTTAGCAATTTGTCAAAGAAGCAAAGTTGTGTATTTGCTTTAACCCTGAATCTGACTGAATCTGGTAGATTTATACAAGAAATTAAAGCAAAAACAATTGCAGTTTGCCAATGGGGTAAGAAAAACGCATACACTATTTTGCTTCTCAAGTAAATGTTTTTACAAGAACACTTTTTTTTTTTTTTTTTTTTGCAGTGTACAGCAAAATCAGCAACGAAATGCTTATTGTCTTTTTTGTGGCCTTTTCTAATGGATTATTTTGTTTCGTTGTTATAATACGTTATTTATACATTTATGTAGCAATGATTTTGTCGCAGAAAAGCTACTGCTTTCTCATTAGCACAACACTGAATGAATATTTTAGGTGGAAAAACCAAAGATGCAGATTACAAAATGGCTGTCGTTTGCTACCGTTAAGTCTGCTGCTTAAGTTCATGTTGTCTTTTTCATTTTTTTTTCTTACAGTTTTGAATAAAAGCAATGATGAATAAGTAAAAATATGATAGTTTCCCCTCCGTCCCTTTTATTTTATTTTTTTCTTATAGAGATAAAGCTCAGTGTTGTAAGTCTGTGTACATGTATTCAATCTATATGGTTAATTTCACAAACAAAAGTTTTATCTATTTTACAATACTATTTTTTTTATTCTATTTGTTCATTCAGTCAGCCTTAAATATATTTTTAGCCTTCACAAAACAATTTGATTATACTTTCTGTATGAATAATAACTAATCCTTAAAACCGGAAATGGCACAAGTGGGGGAAACGGTCAGTATGTTTGTGTGTGTGTGTGTGTGTGTGTGAGTTTTTCTTTTCATTTTTTATGTTTGTTTTTAACATTTTGTCTGAGTTTTAACAATGTTACAAAGTGTGCAACCTGTATTGCAAAGACAAGCCGAGTTGACAAAAGATTGAACATTTAAGCAATGTGTTTATAAAGGTGCTGAGGTCGACCTTGGGTCCAGGTATTAGAAATGACAATGTGTTGAGCGAGACGCCTTAGAGGTCAGTTGCGGTGAAGAAGTGCAACCTAGTAAAGAATACAACGCCAACGTAATGACGAAAAACACTATTCATTCTCTTTCATGTTACACAGCGTTGGTTAATTTATGGCACCAAACACTGTATGTTTGAATCTTGTATTAAAAAGTGTTCTCACCGGGAATGTGTGTGGGTTCTTTGATAATTTGAGAGTTTTGCGCAAACTGACTGCGATCTGTCCACCGACGTGCATTAGGTGTTGATGCATATTATACGGCATGTAAAAGTCTAGTAACGATAATGTCCGTAATTAGTTTGAACCAGGAACATTCTTTAACTCCCTAAGATATATGAACTGTTGATTAACACTGAAAATAATTTCACTTAAGTTTAAAACTAACAAAAATGTACAGTACTTACAGTAGTAGTCTATGTTGTGAAACTTTTAAGGTGAGTTTCAAAGCATAAATGTTCAGTGATTTTATTTATTTTTGTTTTACTAGAAATTGTGGGGTTAGCACCTTTTCAATTGTCCTTTTACGATTTAATCCTTTTCTATGCACATGCATAAAGAACTTTGCTTCTTTGAAAAAATAATTCTATTATTATTAATATTATTATTGTTATTATTGCATTTGTTGTAGTTACAGTAAATCTCACTGCATTTTGTTGACAAAAAAGCTGTTATTATAAACCATTTTGCTTAAGCAAATTGATCTTCTATACAGGATTGTTTATATTATTATTAGTTGTAGTAGAAGTAGTAGTAGTATACACAAAAAAAAAATGTTTTTTATGAACATCATGATTCCTCAATAACTTTCGTACTAAAATCATACATTCATCATAAAATGTAAAAACATCTACAGTAAAAGAGTATAAAAAAATATAAAGTCTATAGCTTGAGTTGTGAGGTTCCTGGTCGCCGTGATTTTGCCAAGACATGTTCCTGGATCAG